ATTATTAAACTGAATAATGTATTCAAATAAATACAAAATATAATAAAATAAACATTAAGGTGCAGCATTTCGATGAACTGAAATAATCTGTATTTGAACTTTACTGTACTAGTACTCACAAAACATAAACTATTAGTTTTGGGTTTTTAATTATTATTAAACTGAATATTCACTCAAATAAATACAAAATATAATAAAATAAACATTAAGGTGCAGCATTTCGATGAACTGAAATAATCTGTATTTGTACTAATACCTAAGCAGCCAGTTTGACATTATGACTTGCTTGTCATTGTATTTTCATGTTTTTTTTAAAGAAAAATTAACTTGTCCACATTGCTTGCTGAAAGGGCAGATCTGCTGGCACTAACAATGTCTCCTGCTGTGGAGAACACCCTCTCGCTAGGGACAGAGGTAGCAGATACAGCCAGATAGCGCTTTGCTAACACGGCAACATAAGGATATTTGGCGTTTGTAATAGCTTTGGCTCGGTCTGAACTTTTTGCGAGTGGTGGAGGCTTAAATGCTAGCGGGAGTTAGGTTTGCACAGTCTTTTTTCTTTTGGTACCGGTGATATTCACGTTCGGGTGATGCCGTTTCAAATTAGTGTGCAAGTTTGATGTATTGCCAGCCGCGTAACCAATTTTAGTTGAACAATGCCGACAAACAGCTTTGGTTCGGTCCACCTGTCTTTGCCCGTCATCCTTGTACGTAACTGCGAAACCAAAATGTTCCCAAACCGGAGACTTCAATGATGCTGGAGGATTTTCGAGCTCAACTTTATCTCCGTTCGCCATTTCGACAGTTCCTCAAATGACTGACTAAATTTGAACGCATCCCTCTGACCAGCTCTCATAGTATGCCTCTCGTCCAATGAAATGACTTGCTCGCTCTATGATATATACCTGAGATTACTTCCAGAAAGTTGTTCATGTTCTCAATTTTTTACGTTTAACGCTATATTCGTTCGGTACACACGTGTACCGAACCAAAGGGCCCATACCGAATAATTTCAGTATGGGTACGTGTACCGTTACACCCCTAATTGATTGATATGATTGCGATTTAAATCAGCATATACTTCTGCCAGGGGATGCCACCCCACAAAATCTCCTGCCACCCTGCCACCCCATGAATATTTGTCTAGATCCGCCCCTGGGTGGGTGGCTATGTAGAGTGATAGAACAGAGCAGGCACGCCCCCGAGAGAAGGAAAGCAAGTCACGTCACAAATTAGCATTTCTAAAATGTTAGCGTGGATTAATAAAAGTGCAAAAAGACAGCGGTTGTCGCCGGAAGAAACTTCAAATACAGAGAATGCTGTGCCTGTGTTGGAAATTGTGTCTGATGGGGAGCTTTCTTTGGTTGATCCACCTGCTCCAAGTTCTAGTGCATTAGCATTAGCACTAGCTCCGCCGCCTCCTCCAGAGCCTCTAACGTTAGCTGCTGCTGGCGCAACTGCCACCACCAACACCGGGCAAAGCGATGCACCTGACTGCTGGACAACGGACCAGGTGCAATATTTTTGCAAGACCAATGCATGGCTCCTTCTTAAAGATAAGAAGCTAGGATGTCGGATATGCAGAGATGTCAAATCTTTGGGAATACACACTGGACAAGGACTGAAACTGTCAACTGAATGGGGTGAGTGTGCAGTGTCTCATTTCGGTGTTGACAAGGGCAAACATCGACCAACAAGCTAGCCTGAGAAAAAAAATCAAAGAACATAAAGAATCACAAGCCCATGTAAAAGCTGCTGACATCCTTACATCTGCTTCACGTGAAACTATTCAACATCAAGTGCAGTCTATGCATACATCTGAATTAGACACCACTATCAGAGTTTTTCGAACGGCATATCAAATTGGCAAACATAGCCGGCCATTCACAGACATGCCAATTGATTTGAATGTACAGAAACTGAATGGGCTGAACGTGGGCAGGGTTTTGCACTCCAATAAAACCTGTGGCGAAATCATCGACCACATAGCTCATGAGCTGAAGAAAAAAATGGCAAAAGACATTACAGAAAACCAAAGAAAACTCTGTGTTTTGGTCGATGAATCTACCACTATTAGTGGTAAAACGGTGCTTGTTGTGTGTCTACGCTCAGCATTAGCTGATGCTGAGCCCGAAACGTTTTTTTTGGGAGCTGATCGAGTTGGATGGAACAACGGCTGATGACATCACAAAGGCGTTAATGGAGTGTCTTGGAAGAGATTTTAACGAGGACTTTTTAGGTCAGTGTTTCGTTTCTTTTGCATGTGATGGGGCTAAAGTCATGCTAGGGAAGAGAACAGGCGTTGCTACCCAGTTGTGTAGTAAATTCCCAAGCCTGTTTGTGTGGCACTGCTCCAATCATCGTCTAGAGCTGGCAGTTGGGGATGTGGTCAAGGAGGTCTCAGGGCTCAATCATTTCCAGATCTTGTTTGACAAACTCTATTCCTTGTTCCATGCCTCCCCCAAAAATCAGAGGCAGTTAGCGCAGTGTGCGCAAGCAGTCGGACAGTGTCTCCTGGTGATAGGGCGTGTTTTGTCCATCCGCTGGGTGGCTTCAAGTGAAAGGAGCGTCAGAGCAGTCTGGGAAAACTACCGAGTGCTTCATGATCACTTCACAAATGCTGCAAACGACACGAGCAGGGATTCCAGAGACAGAGCAAAGTACAAGGGCCTGGATGATGTGCTCACATCTGCAACGTTTGTCAGCAATCTGGGACTGATGTACGATGCGCTCACAGAGCTCAGCGACCTCTCTCGGCAACTCCAAAAAAGAGAGATGACACTGCCTACAGCAGATAGGCTCTTAACTCGAGAAATACGAGTTTTTGAATCCATGGTCACCATGCCTGGCCCACACATGACTACAGTTCATACAGCTCTAGCTGAGAAGTCCTTCAAGGGTGTTGCCCTGCGTGAGAATGGCAGGCTTGTACAGATTCATGCAGGTCAGTTTTCCCGCAGTATGGTAGAGAATCTGAGACACAGAATGACTTCCACAACCTCCTCTCATGTCAGCACAAGAGAAATCCCATTACATGGCCGGGAGGCCCGGGACAATCAGCTAATCCAGGACATGAAAGTTATCCATCCTGGAAGTTGGCCTGAAGAGGAGTTAGACATACAGTATGGGGACGTAGAGGTGCTACGTTTGTGCGAAGTGCTGAAAGTGGACAGAAGAGAGACTGTTCAGGGCTTTCGCGAATACAAGGAAACCAGGGCATCCCGTACACCTGCTGCCATGGAGCCTCTACTGAAAGCAGTCCGAACCATCGCTGTCTCCACTAGTGAGTGTGAGCGGGCATTCAGCTGCATGAACGATATCCTTACTGCAAAAAGGAATGCTCTCTCTGTCAGCCGACTGTCCAGCCTGGTTTTCATTAAATGTAATGGACCATCACTAGGACAGTTCAATCCGGAACAGTATGTGAGGTCCTGGCTGGCAAAGGGAAGGAGAAGTGCTGATGAAAGAGCCTGTCCAGCTCCAGCCCCTGATACTGATGTCCCCAAGGCCTTCTGGAGCCTTTTCTAACAATGTGAAGTATATTGCAAAGTAGCTCACCCAGTGAGAAGACTTTTGGCATAATGTGCCGATTTGTACAGATCCTGGAGATAGAAGGACTTCAGACCAACCAGGGAGTTATCTGATCAGCTTGGTGTTCAATGTAACTCTTTACCATGGCTCAGACTTTGTTACTTGCAGTTACAGTTTCTCATTTTAGATTGTGCAAATTCTGCATTTGTTTTTACATGTTCTTTGTTCATGCTCTTTATCATTTTTCTGAGTTGGAAAGTTAGATTGCATCATAGTTTACTTTATACATATTTGTATTCTTCAGTGGTGAAGTATATTGCAAAGCAGCTCAGCCATGTGAGAAGACTTTTGGCACTTTTTCGTTTTTCGTTTTCTGAGTTGGAAAGTTAGATTGCATTCAAAATGAACAGAAATACTTAATTTTGTTAAAGCTTTTTATAAAAAATGCTTCTGACCAGAGCTTTGTTTCCTTGTCATTAATGTTGAACACCACCAGAGGGGCTCTCACCTGAAAGGTCTCTGCTTCATGTGTCTTCAGCAGAAGATCTAGACTTTGATTGCTATATTTTCAGTTAATATTGACCTTACTGAGCTTTAGCCATATCCGCTGCCTATCATAAAAAATGTTAAGTACAGTGAACCTTTCTAAAATATACAGTAGTAAAGAGACAAACCCACCAGCATTATAGTAGCCAAATTCTTGTTTGTGGGCTGTATATATAAAATTGACTTGAAAAAGTTGCTGATTTTAGAGTACTGGCACCTTTTTCATTCCAATTCAAGCACTGGTTCTGTCTTATTGTAAAAAGTATTCCGCCTCTCGTTTCAGAACTCCATGCTCCCCGCCCCTATGTGTCTCCTGTGTTCGTGATTGGTTCCCCTCACCTTGTGTATATTGTGTTAGTCCCCACCTGTCCAGTGCCAGTTTGTTTCCTATTCATGACCACGTTCAAGCTTGCTCCATGGTCGTATCCTGTTTTCTCAAGATCACGATTTTTGCATTTAGTTTTTCCTCGGAAGAGTGATTTTGTGTTTCTTGTTTTTGTTACTGTGTTAATTCCAGTAAAGTCTTTATTTTTTAATACCACCTGAGTCTGAGTTGTGCATTTCAGTTCATGCCTCTGAGTTCACCCCTTGACAAATACAAACCAAAAAAAAGGTCTGTCTCAAATGAACTAGAACTGTTTCAGACTTTCTCGAGGGTAAGAGTTCAGTCATTTTACAGTTCAAACTGGTTTTAGTCTTAGGCTATCTACATCTACATTTGTTTACAACACTTTCCAAGAAACAAAACGTTTGTGTTTTCACAATGTTTTGTTATTGAACAAGTTTGGTTCAATCAATATCTTTATAACTTTACGAAACTTATGATTGTACTTTAGCATCTTGTTAACCCTAATTATAGCCCAATGTTATTCCTAGCCTAAAGCTTCCCCTTTGGTCCAGATTTAGACAGTAAAATACAGATACACAAATAAGTAATATTTATTACAGATTTTATGGTCAATCAAACCAAAAGACATATTTTGAAAAAACATGTCATATCAGACCAGCTGACACTTAAATCCTCAACTCAGTCGTCAACATCACTACATCAACTGCTATGTCTACTCAAACAGTTAATAGGAATAAAAACAAAAGGTAAATTAAACTTTAGCATTCAGTGAAGGCTGTTTTTAACGTGAAGATGCACAAAATCTTTGTCAATCTTTTTTTTTTAAAGTTCAGATTTTGTCCATGTTTTGGAAAAAAACTAGGATCCTGTCTTAATCAGCCCTAAAGGGTCAGTACAGCCAAATATTTGGCGGCAAATGTTTTACGACAAACGACATGAAATAAATATATTTTGTTAATTGGATGAACGGACCCTTTAATCTTGTCCTTCCAAGCGGGAACAAGTCCCTTTTTCCAGAGGTCAGTTTTCTCCTTTTGAACTTCTTGAGCTCATATCCGGGGCTTTTCTTTGGCCCCTCTCCCCCTTCTGCCTCTTGACTCTCCCCCATCACGCCCCCCGAGCCTTCCTCTCCTCCTGCAGCGTCCTCTGGCCCACCCTGCGCTGGTTGAGGACCTTGGTGGTGGCGCGCAGCTTGCGGAGCCTCAGGGCCCGGAGACGCAGCTGGAGGAAGTCCTGTGGGATCTTCAACCCCTTGGCCCGGATCTCTTTCAGTCTCTGGAGGGGCGTTTTGGTGAGGGTGAAGTCACAGATGGTGGCACGTGGCTCCATGCCAACATGGCACCGACGCATTGAGGGGAAGTAACCCTCGGCCCAGACCACCACCTTGTACTCTCCTGGGTTCAGCAGACGCCAGTAGTCCCCGTCAGCAGCTGAGGAAATAAAAACAAAGAATGTGATGTTATGTTCCTGGAAATTAGCTTTTTGTGGTTGATTTCTGTTCAGGAGTCACTTTTATCGCATTTAAAATAGAGCTGTAACTAGGTTTTTTATCGTTAAAAAATACGATATTTCTTAATTAAAAGCAGAAGAGCAGCGAGGTTTATTATGCAGAGGCGTTAAGCAACAGCGTTTTGATCTAGCGGTATTGTATATTCAGTAAAGTGAATTACGTGAGGTCAAATGTCATATTAAATATAAAATATAAAACGGAGTGTCTGACCTGATCGTATATCATGGTCGTGGTCCTCCACTTTTATCACAGCATCTGATATTCCTTGATTGGTCATTTTATCCCTTACGACACCCTTGATGCCTCTGTGAATCTAAGACATACGACAATTTAAAATGCTGGATTGAAATGAATATTTTTTGTTGTTTTTTTCTTTGCACAGACTGACCTGCTCCATGTACACCAACAGAGACTCTTTGTTGTTCTCCCACTCGATGGGAAGCTCGCTGACGTGAGGATACTTATCACAAGACAACTCCACCGTCACCTCGAAGCAGTTTGTGTGCATGTAACTGAAATCATTCATACCTGCAGGAAAGACATGCAAGTAAACAATGTGCATGTGAGACATTTCAGCCAAAACAACAGGTTTAAAAGAATGTCTTCATTCAAAGACTCACTCCCAGGGACGGTGTGCCAGGCCCCCCCATTGATGATATTGTTGTGCACCTGGAAGTCCTCGTAGTGGCAGAGGCGTCGGTTGGGGTTGGCCATCACCAGGTTAGTGGAGGCGTACACGGTCGCCAGCCAGCGGAAGAAAGCGTTGTCGGCCGTGGGGGTGTCCTCCTGGGGGGCCCAGCCCCAGGTGCAGTCAAAGGGATACGAGACCACCAGCTCCCCCCCATGAAGGTTAGCACTGAGCACGAAGGGAATATCCTCCATCCAGCTGATGACCGCACGCGTCTCTGGTGAAACCTGGGGGGGATTAACATATCAAACTTGACATAATATGATAATAAATCAAAACAATTTATAAATCAATGTGTCCAAGTGATATACATTTACAAAAAATTCAAATAAAATGACTGTTAAAAAATGGCATAGTGTTGGAAATAAAGGTGGAAGGGCTGATTTGCTTACCATGGCGTCCTCCTGAGTGTAGTACTCTGGCATGGGGATGTAGTGGTTGGACACTTTAGACTTATCGGTGGCCATCTCCTCGGCGTCCCACATGATGTTGTTCAGGTCCGGAAAGTTAGAATTCAAGTCGATTCCTTCAAAACTGTATCGTCCCTCAGCCCATCCCGCCAGCTCAGAGCCCTGCAGCAGAAAAGTCGGTTAGAAACTGAAAAATAAAATCATTTTTTACAGATAAGGGTTAACAGTTTAACTAAAATATATCATGACAGAACGTTCCCAGTTTATCACAAACATTAAGACACTAATTTGTTGTATTACACATTTTCTGAAGTTATTGAGTTTGGATATGCAAATTATGCATTATTTTAACAAATATGTGCACATTTGCAATAATAAAACTGATTTGTCAGGTTTTAGTAATATAATGTTCAATAAATAATATGTATGAAGAATAACCTCTATAAAAACCTTCGGAGTATAGTAAGGAATGAAATTGGAAAGTAAGGTGCTATACATTTTAAGAAAACCTTTTTCAAATGTATGTATTTATTTGTACACACTAGAGGGAAATAGGGTAAACAGTTAACTAAAATATATCAGAATAAAACTTCCCTTTCTGGTTGTGTGTAGAGCTTTCACTTAAAGCTAGATGTTTGTGAATTTATAAGAAATCTAGAGATACACAGAGGAAGTAAAATAAACACCTAATTGTGTATTTTGGAGACTTTCTATCAATTTCCCTGAATACATGTTAAGGATGGGTGAACCAGCCCAAAAGCTCTCAATTGACCATGATTAAATGGGATGAAGTTCGCCCACCTTCTTATAAGCTTCCTCGTATCCGTCGGGGTTCATGGAGGGCAGCAGGTGGATCCGAGTGTCGGTCACCAGCCGGACGACGCGCTGGTTGCCCTTCTTGTATTCCTTGCACAAATACTGCATGAGGTTGAGGACGAGCTCTCGGCCCAGAGCCTCGTTCCCGTGCATCCCGGCCACGTAGCGAAACTCCGGCTCGCCTGCCAAGAGGGAAATCAAGAGAGTTATTTTACATGCAGAGTAGAACATGTGGAGGAATGTGTCTCGGCCAGTTCACACTAAACATGAGATTTTGATCTTATTCAGTTCGGTTAAAGTTAAAGCCCAGAGGCACATCAGGAATACATTGAATATTGTTTTGTTTCAGGCAACAGCACGTTGCCAATAATCATGTGTTCATTGGACAGATGTGATGGAAAACATTCCTTTAAATAAAACTCCAAAACACCAATAATCTGCTCTTCATACAATGCCACAAAAAAATCAAGACTGCCCCTCTGGTTCTTGTGTCTGGCAGCAGGGATTTAACTATAAATCCACCAGTTTTACTAAGTACTCACACGTTCTACTAAAGTAAAAGATGTAATTAATGCAATTTATGAGACGTAATAGAGCATATGATCATTATATACTTGCATGTTCCTTTTCTACACGCAAAATATCAAATATGAATGGGTGCCTAACCAAAACATAACTTTGAATGCAGATTTAGCAGTATAAAATGTGACACTCATTGCTGAGCTCAATCTCAGATAAATCTTTAGCCTACCAGCTTTCAGATGATGCAACCACTACTATATGGCATCTACTCTTGAACGGCTTCTTACCGCTGAAATAGACATAAATGGGTCTAACTGTGTCTCTAAATAACCCAAAGAGAAAGCCATTTTGATAAATGTTGGAAACTTCTTTTTTATGGCCCTGCATTTGCAGACAACATCACAAAGAAAATGTGTCTTGTCTCTCATGTCAAGCCATTATCAGTTGTTTATATGAGAGGCCTCCCTGTGTGCTGCTGCAGAGAAGTGTGTGTAAACACTGCAGGAAGTTGAACCGGGCCCTGAGCAGCTAAACTCAGAGTAACCCGAGGAACATGATGAACTCTGGTCCAAAAACTTCAGACTTTTATGTTCTGAACTCATGGTGCTGCTTTGCTGCTCTCTCCTTTTTTGAGATCTGGCGGATGTTTATCCTTTTGTGCTGTTGGTTGTTTGTAGACTTATTGCTTCAGCTGTACTAATATATCATTCAAGATAGTTTAAGCTATCATTTCATAAATTCCTGGTTTGTTTTGTATGTGAGAACATAGGTACTTCATCCACATCTAAAGAAGAGCTGTATTGCTCTCACCTAGTTCATGTTTTCCAGGGTTGTCTGAGATCTCCATGACGTACAGTTTGAGTCCGGTGTAGCTCTTCCCGATGGTGTAGATCCGCGTGATGTCCGGGCACTCCTTCGTTACAGACTTCATGAGCTTAAAAAAACAGAGGCGGAAGAAGATAGATAGAGTTCAATCTAAACTGTGCAATAATCTGCACTATTTTAAGAGTAAAATATCCTGGATTAGCTTTAGAGAAACCACAGTTACTCATTGTGCATGTGTGGCCCTGTAGATCTATTCACATCCTGACCTTCCTCATCTCATTGTAGTTGTGATGTCTGAAGTCCAGAGGGTCTTTTGATCCTAAATCCTGCTCCGATGAGTAGATGCCATCTGGATCTAAGAGGAAAGAAAGAGCAGATTTACTTCCTTTTGTTGATTCAAGCACACAAAAAACTGTTAAAGACAGAAAATGACTGCAAAGAGACAAACAAAACTCAAATGGACACAACATGACTACAAGCCACACAAAACAACTACACAGGGACACAAAACAACTGCAAAAATACACAAAATGACTAGAACATTTCACAAAGCAACTACAAAGACATGCAAAACAACTACAGAGATACAAATGTTTTTACAAAGAGATGCAAGATGACAAAGAGAGAAATAATGACTGCAAAGACACAGGAAATTTCTTCAAGAGAAAAAAAATGACTGCAAAGATACAGGAAAATAACTAGCAAAGAGACAAAAAATGATATGTAACCAATAGTGGAAGCAAATTAAGATTCTCTACTTAAAAGCACTACAAACACTGCTGTCAAACTGCACTATAGGCTAAAAGTCCTAGATTCAAAACTTTAGGTAAATGGTCTAGGCTAGATCTGCCAAATGTAGATTAATGTGCTGCAAATGGTTCAATGTCCTTACTACGTTAATTGTCAGTAAACTACTTAAGTAGATGTAATTAGTGATGTTACGTATTGCGCCGAGGCTTCGAAGCGTGTGTCGAGTAATCCCCGAAGCTTTTTGTGAAGCATGTATCAAGGCTTGTATCGTTTTGGGCCAGTGACGTAATCGATGACAAACGAAGCCTCGCTGCCTGTCGATACCACGTGACTGCTTCAGGAAGCGATTCAGATCGGTTGAACCGTTGAACCACAACGCTCATACCCATGGATGTATAAGAACCATATTACCAGGGGTGCACATCACTTTTTTGCCCTGGTTCTCAAAGGAGCACCTGGAGATGTTGCTTGGTGCTCATCCTTAAAATTAAATAAACCGTAACTTTTGAGGGGGTCTTGACTTTATTTGCCAGACACACGGTACTGAACACACATGCAGAGGTGAACACAGAACACACATGCAGAGGTGAACACAAGACAACATTAGCACGACCAGTAATCATACAAGCTGTCATCACTCCTCCTGACTGTTCTCCTCACTGTCTTCCTCTCTCTCAGACATGGTAGCTGATGATGTAGGCCTACTTCTTTCTCTCTGGTTGAGTCTGCGATTAGCTGCTTGCATCCACAAGTCAACAGCTGGGTTTGGGTCGAAAGTCTCTGTTGTCATCTTAGACAAGTGGATGTAATCAAATAAGTATGTGAACATAACCAATAGCCTACCATAGCCAATAACAAATTAATGTAACTTATTTTATTTGTGTTGTTCATTCATATCTTATTTTACCTTAACATTTATTTATTTATGCATTTTTTTTTTATCTCTCCAGTTTTAAAGGATATTTTTGGTTACTGTCCTATAGTATACATTGGAATGATTTAAAACCTGTTTATCCCAATAATTATAAAGGAGTGCCTTGGAAATATGTGTTTACATAAATTGTGACCAAACCGTTTGAATTTAGACTAAGAGTCCTTTACCTCACTGAGCTGTAGTTAACTTATCAGCCTCTCAGTCTGACTGGAGAGGACTCTCCCTCCACATTATTGTAGAAACATCTTCTTCTTATCTCCGTTAGAGCAGCTAGCACGGCACCAGATTATAATAACAACAGGGCTGGTACCACCCTCCCTCCCTCCCTCGCTCACTCGCATTTTGTCTGTGAGCTGCGGGCGCCAGATAAACCAACATCCCCCATTTTCATCACTTACAGCGCCCATCGTACAGGGCAAATTAAAGGTGGAACCGGGGTGAAAAGGGTGTTACATTTACTTAATTGTGAATATTGTTATATCAAGGCCGAAAATTAGGATGAGCCCCAACGGTCAAAATGTTTTTTTCCCTCCCAGAACTGCCAGCGCAGCGACTCCCCAGATCTGGCGCCCTAGGCCCTGAGTTCATATCATGGTTCATATGCAACTCGCAAATATCTTTCTCTCTCTCTCTTCCTCATCTCTCCTCTCTCCTCTATTTTCTCTTTTCTCTTTTCTCTTATCTCTCTCCCTCTCAATGTTGGTACGCAAATGCGCTTTGTTTCAAATAACCCGGTGCTCTTTTTTTGGCGGAGGTGCGCATGCGCACCTGCGCACCAGTTATGTGCAGCCCTGCGATATTACCCTTCCTGTACCCGGGCCCGGTGACACGATGGAATTAAGAGAGCTCAGACCCTCACTTACATATATAGAGGTCGGAACATGTCATAAGTATAAATAGATACAAGCATAAATAAATGTAGGAATAAAAACATGAATAAATAAATGAATAAATATGGTCCAGTGTTTTCAGGGAGATTCAGTGTGTGTGCTGTGGCTCAGCTGGAAAGCAGTTGACTCATGACCGCAGGGTCCCTGGTTCAACGACTGAACAATACGTGTTTTTGTTGTTTATAAAAGCTACAGCTAAATTAGATAATGTAGCCTAGTAAATAAATGTATTCTTTGATATGGTTTAGCCTTTCTCAGGCTACAACATGGTTAAGTTTATGAATATTATTAAGGAATACAAATCCCTCTTTGCAATGTTTACCAGTCTCCTTAGGCTTTTCAATCACAATCATTCTGGAATAAAAACAATAATTATTGTTAACATGAAAATGTGATTTAATGTTCGTTGTTTAGAGTTATTCTAAGGCTTTACTCAATGGGAACTCGGTATGAGATAGAGCACACTGTTGAGATGTCCAATCTGCCTGTTTTACACACTATGACCAACAGGGGGTTTGTGTTCAAATGAAGCCCATGATGAAGCCTCGTGAGATGAACCCTTTTGCGAACCAATTGGCTGGAAAGCTTCAAAGCTTCATAAGGCTTCATCTCGCCATCACTAGATGTAATTAGTTGCATTCCTTCACTGTTTGTATGCAGAGTTTCACCCACCATGCACCCGGCAGCCGAGGATCTCCGCCCGCAGGCACACGGTTCCGTTGATGTACCAGGTCTGCGGGTTGATGCGGATAAAACGGGCAACCGTGGGAACAGGAAGCACAGCGAGCACCGGAGCCCATGCGTTCTGGTTCCCTTCAAATATCTGTACAAAAAGAGACGAAGACATGAAGTTAAACTCACAATATAGCCTATCATGTTCTGCCTCTAGGCCCTAGGGGGTTCTCAATCAAAAACAATAACAAAAGACAGCATCGGAATTTACTTGCTTTCAATTTCTCCAGATTATAATGACTACACTGTTCATTCGTCACATATGGTGAGCTGAATTATCCACAGAAGTCCCCCTTTAAAACAAACAGACCATGGTGAGTAAATATGATAAAACACTAAATAAAGCAGTTTTATGTTAAACATCTATGTGTTCCCGACTGACAGGCTAAAGGCTAACATTAGCTCAACATCTTGTCCAAATGTTTAAACATTTAGACATCCGATTTCTGGACAATCAAGATCCAAAAAAGTGTATAGTAGGCCTTAAACATGTGGCTAAAACCTGAATTTGAAAGCTCAAAAACCAATCGCTGACGCATGCGCATAGGTGATTCAAGGCCTTGACAGGAAATTACTAAAATTACACATTTCTCTAGGTTTGAAATTTGTTGTCAAAAAATGTCTTGTGTGACTTTCAACTCCATGGAAAACGATCAGAAGTCAATAAAAACCTGTGAACAATGTGCAGGAGGTCAAAACTGCATGTTGCAGCCTTAATCAACGTGTATTTTAGTTGGAATACACGTTTTGAATCAATAAACACTATTAATCTTAGAAAGATTAGAAAAAGTATTTTCAATATTTATTTTATAGACAACTGTTATTATGCCATCCACAGTTGAGATACTTCCTGTACTCTTTGCGTTTTCATCTTGAGTTATTTTTTCTATTGTAAGAGCAGTTGTCTGTTTTGTTGGTAGATATTTCACTTTGTCACAAATTCCAAATCTGTTTTCCATTAGAACAAGCTTCACTAGTCAGAGTGAAATTAGAGGGGGGAAAAGTTCCTATCCACAAACTGTACTTGTACTTGTAGATTTTTGTTGTCTTTTTTGCATGTCTTTGTGAATATTTGTAGGGTTTGATTTGCATATTTTTCGAGTTGTTTTGCCTTTCCTTGTAACTGTTTTGCATCCATGTTAGTTGTTCTGTATATTTTCAATTGACATGTTTCTATTTTTGAAGGTCTTTATAAGAGTTTTGCATCTGTCCCCTGGGCCTGTCCCTCGGTAACCCTCCATGTTTCTTACCGCCTCTTCAGTCCTGTTCATGCAGGTTTTCCAGGTCACAGAGTCATTACTCAGCTGCACTTTGTAGGTGTGAACCCAGTCCCAACTGCAACAAAGACAAGACGTTTATTGTTAATATACAGACTTGTGCAGTGAAAGAACATTGTAGTGTGTCTTCTTCTGTTTCTTTTTGCAGCAGTTTTTTAAATTTCATTTGGGAAGACTATTGATTTTAATTCTGATGCTACCTGACCTCCAGATGGAATTCTTTCCCTGCAGGACGACTCCGGTGAACAGCGTGAGGTAGATGGCGTCCACCTCCAGCCACTGGTTCTGGTCCTTATACTCCGCACACCAGGCTCCATCGTACAGGTCTCCGTCCGCTATGCCAGACTGAAAACACACGGTGACTTTTCAAACAGTCTCCTCCAGAATACATTAAGCCTCTTTATGAAGCAATGCAGAATAGTTTTGTGTTGACCCTGATAATTGCTTTCAGGCTCTGTGATTTACAGATTGTTTAATTTAATTTCCAAGAAACTCACTGGAGTTTTAGTATCTACATTTTATTTGGCAATAAAAGCAGTGGGGAATAAAGTGACAGATTGAGGGAGATCTGCTTTATTTTATAGACTGTTAGTTTCTGAAATGTGCAGCAGTTGTTAAACATGATAATTTTAAGTTAAAGAGAAGGATACTAATAATTTGAGCTGATCATTTGTGCTTTGCATTCAAAACATAATGTGGGAGCTACACAGGGTTTTTCTAAATAAACAAAATGTCACTTCAACACCGCAGCAGAAAGGGAAACGTATAATCTCCTGCTCTCTAATCTCCCTTTACAACATCCTGTTTCCTGTTGTGCTTTGTCTTGCTGTAAGAAGCAGCTGTCTGTACTTTGTGTGATCCATATGCAGACCCACCTGGATGTTCAGCCTCCCCCTGTGAGGACCCAGACCCGACCTCTGGGAGGAAGAAGCCCGGATCTGGCTATCATCGACACGCAGAGACTCCAGGCCAAGAGGAGGACACTCTGCAAAGAAAAGGAGATACAGTCTTGTGGAGTTGCAGATCTTTAAGAAGCTTCTGAAGGGTTAAAAACTCTCCTCTGGTTTCTCTGAGTAAGCAAACACACTGCAGATGTAATTAGTGGATGTTATGAGAAATATGTATAAGTCATCCTGGGTTTTTGGGAGTTTTTGGAGGCCCCTTCTGCAAAGGAAACTGCAGATAAGTGAATCCCGTGGAGGGTTTGAATGTAATTTGAGACAAAGTCGGGGCAGGAAAGCTAAAAGTCCAGCAGAGCTACAGCTGCAGCACATTTCATGGCTCAAGGAGCCTCATAGATCCCAAACACCACAGTATTGGCAGAAGGGAAGAGCTATGCGAGTTCTCTTTAGGTCAAGGGACGGTTTGGTGGAGCATCATTAAAGTTAAAGGAGCAGTATACAGATGTCTAGTTTAGGAAGTTTACATGACAAATCAATTCATATGTGTTGGGCTTTTATCAAAGACTTGCAGTCATTTATTACAAAAGCTTCTGTTTCTCAGAAGTGAATATTTACTGCATTCTTCCGTGATGGTAAACTGAACCTATTGTGGGTTTTGATTCGGAAAAAACAAGCAATTTGTAAAGGGCACATTTTTGCTCCGTAAAATTGGTAAAGGATCTAAATATGATTGATGAGCAACAATAAAAAGTATGTAAACAAAGTTTTTAAACAAACCTGGGTTACTCTGGAGCATTACAGTAACAAAATGATATAAAGCAATGTTTATTCTCAAAATGCAAAAGTCGAGTAAAGGAAAGCCAGAAATTCAGGGGGTCCCTGAAGGCATCATTAATTAATTGGCTTCTAACAACTCTACACAAAAATTAAAACAAAAAATATACTTGTTCATACCCAGTTGTGTTTTCTTGTCGTCTGTCTTGCTCGCATGTTTCTTTTCTCCGTTGTTTTCCTCCTCACTGTCCCGGGTGATGTTTTTTCTGTGCAGCTTTTTTTTCGTTACAGCGGTGGTGTGTAACTTCTGTGCCGCTGTTGGAGTCGTTTTGGCTGTGCTGTGATGCTGCAGCTGCACAGTGACAGACGCAGCTGTACTTGTGCTGTTTAACAATAAATGAACCTCAGTTGTTGTATCATCTGTCAGCTGCGCTGCGTCAAAATATCCTCCCAGAAAAATGACTGCAGCCAACGTGCACAATGACTTTTCCATTTTCCTCTCTGTGAGCTGCATGCTGCAGAGTGAGTGGGGGAAAAAAATGCCTTGCCAGTTTATGTGGAAGATGACAAAGAGCCAGACTCTTTGCACACAGCCCTCCCACTCAATCCCACCTCCCCTCACCCTCCCTCCCTTCCTGCCTCCCAAAATTCCAGTGAAAATGGGATTTAAAGAAATACTTGGGAATATTACAGTTTGCTTAATGCTGGTGTACACCGCTGAGTCAGTGATTTAACTACTACATGAACATCTTGTATTGAATTTTCTGTTTTATGAAAAGGATGTTATAATATGTAATCAAGTACTGTACTGAAGTACAATTCTGAGGTACTTGTACTTGAGTATTTCCATTTATAGCTGCTTTATACCCTGCTAAATTTCAGAGGCACATTCAGATAAATAAATTAAAAAGTTACCCAGCAGTTAAAGTAAATAGAAAAGTTAAAATAAGCTCCACCTTTACAGGCGTCAACATTATAGTACATAAAACGTTGAAAATGAAAACCTTTGTCTCCCCCCGCACCTTCAATGTCACATAGACACCCTGGTACACACATGTAGCTGCTTTGCCTGATGCTGATTGTAATGACTGATTGAACCACAGCAATATTGTTTTAGAGTTTTTATATGTTGAACTGCTATGCCTGTCATCTTTGCTCTATGTGTTTGTGTTGTCTCCTGGGTTCTGTAGTGCCCGGAGTCTGTCTTTTTATTTTTTTTCCTCCCAAACCCCATCCCCTCAGGAAGCCTTTGCCTCCTGTCAGGTCATCATTGTAAATAAGAATTTGTTCTTAATTTATTTTCCTCGATAAATAAAGGTTCTACTACTACTACTACTACTACTACTACTACTACTACTACTACTACTACTACTACTACATAGTGCCTACAAATCAATTGACATAAGGGACACATTTGCCCAGATAGTCCCTCATATTTTCGTACTTCCACTCTTTTTCCCAAATCCCTAAGATCCCTTAAGCGTTAAAGAGACCACAAAGCTCAACACCAGACAACATTTGGATGTTTTTCCTCGGTCTAAAAGCCCTGCTCTACCAATCTACCAATAGAAAGTATAGCCCATACGGTTTAACAGTTTGATATATTGAGGCAACATTTTTTAGTCTCTCACTCCAACCATGTCCTGAACAGCGCTCAATATTTGTTATCATCGGATAGATAAAAATGAGGACACACAGGGTCCAACTATACTGAAGCACTCTTGTGCAGCAGTCAAACCTTAGACTAAATATGAATGAGTTCATGAAGAACAAAATGTGCATTAGAGAGTCTTTGTTAAATGTTTATTTCTTGTCTTAAATATTTGTCTTGGTTAATGATGCAAATGGAGCTGCTGTGATGCAAGAAATGTTTCAGACCTCATATGACCCAAAAAGTATTATTGTGTAATCGAATAAAAAGCAGCTGAAACATGAATCATCCGATAAACATCATAAATCCTCAGTTGTTGTTGGCTCATCTTTATCACTCTGTTTAGTATCTATCAGACTATAAAAACAGACTAATATTTATAACAGCAGTAGAAGTAACACACAGGAAGCCCATCACCAAACGCCATATTTTCAGACTGTCAACAAACCCTCACAGCTGTGTTATATTTAAGTCGTACTGTCATGCTTTACTCACTCAGCTGTCAGCATTTGGTGAAATGAATCACAAAAATAATGCAAGACAGCATGAGGAGAAACAAGTTTACTCTGTGAGCTGCATGTAACGTGTTCCCAGATGGTGTGCATGCATGCAGACACAGACAGTCCATACAGTGAGGCTGTCTGGGTGTTTCCAGCCTTCAGGCTCTCTGATGACTTCTCCTCCTGCACAACTCTGAATGTATCCACTGCCATTAACTCCCTGAAAATCCTTCAAACCAGTTTAATTTCAGTTACTATACCTGTCGTTTTACAATAAACAGTATGTTATCATTTTACATTGTGTTTTATCTCTTTACATTTTACATAGATTACTTATTTTAGCACTTTACTTGCACAATTGTGCTACTTGCTCTTTTTAATTTCTAATTTCTTTGTATGTAAGTTTACTTCAGGCTGAATTGTTGGATGAGCCTAGGATTTTAAACATTTTTGAAAACAGTGAACAGTCAGAACCAGAAACATGTTTATTACCATGTAGGTTTACACGTACGAGGAATTTGACTTGATGTCATGGTGCATACATAACAAAACATATTAGAAATAATACAAATTATGATAAACAGTGAATGGAATTTTAACAGATACATCTTAAATAAAATCTCTTTTTAAGCATTCAAGATTATAAAACAGGATCAAGGACTGACCACAAATTACATCTGTCTTACTGAATGCTGCCTATTTCAATGTTTTAAGTTGATGTGTGTCTGAATGTTGTTTGTTTCATTAACTTCTTGCTGTTTAGCTTCAAGTCTGTGTATTCCTCTTTCATGTGAAACTGTTTTATGCTGCTCGGTTGTTACAGAGTTTCTAAATCTCAAAGGGAAATACTCGTGTTTAAAAAAAATCTTAGTTCAGTTTAGGTCAAGTGTGACAGGTTGAGGCAATGCATAGGGCTCATGAATGGGTGTATATATACATCTTCCAATCAGGGGGTTAGTGGTTAGATTCCTAGCCCCTGCAGTTAACATGTTTAAGTGTCCTTGGGCAAGATGCTTAGCCCCAAATTGCTCCTGTAGGCATGTTTTTAGTTGCTTTGGATAAAAGTGTGAGCTAAATTATTTTCATTTAATCGTTTATTTGGCAGGGACAATGCACAGTAATGAACACTTAAAACATTCCAATGTGACAAGCGTAACAGTGCCAGATTTAGCTTTGAGCTCATTTCCATCCGCTAATTCACATAAAACATTTAAGAAAATTACATTTTACAAACAGCAAAAACAAAATACATGATACATCAATTATATGTAATGTAATGAATAGTCCAACATGTGACCACAATAAACAGACTGTTGACATGTTATAATGATGCACACTTATTAAGTCAGAACATATTTAGTAAAGACTGTATCAGGGGTTTTGGGAGGATACAGTATTTTAGATTTGCAAGAGAGAAATCAATCCTTTGCTCAAGCCATTATTTAATGATAAACTCAATTGGTTGTTTCTATTTCATAGCGAAGTTTAAAAGCCAAAGTGGAAACAAGGGACTTTTTTAAAGTGATAAATCTCTGTTGTATTAAATCAATAGATAACAACACTGCATGATAAACTCCCTTTTTTGTAGACTCACCCACACAGTCGGGAAATAGTACATATTAGTCATCTCTTTTACTAAGAGATTACAATGATAACATCTGTTCTTCATAGCCAGATGTGTTGGCCATGAAGTGTAAATCTTGACAGAAACAGATTTTTACTATTGGTTTTAAACATTAAAATTATAGAGAGCTTGGTATATTTTATCAAGAGGGTGTGGGGCTGAAAGGGCAGATCTTTTATAAGAAAAATACTGACACCAGAAGCCATGCCTAGCTAATATCAGACAATAACAGAGGAGCAGATCTAAGTCATAATAAGTCATCAAGGCCATACATCAAATCATTAAAAAGTAGTTACTATCACACTATCGTTAGTAGTAGTAGTAGTAGTAGTAGTAGTAGTAGTAGTAGTAGTAGTAGTAGAACTCGACTTTTATTTTGAGATCAAGGATACCTGTACCTCATTGGTTACTTTCGCTATGACGTATACACGGAAGTGGCCACGCAAGCGAACGGAATCATAACATTGCATTTGAAGTCTCTCTACTCATCCATTTATCGTTGAATTTCAGATATTTCAATTAAATGTTTACATGCCGGCTGTTTCTAGCTATATTTTAGAAGCAGAAGATATAGAAAAATATTAAAATATGTTACGTGTGATGCTGCTATGAAAGAAAAACATGCTGTTGGTCGCTGTGGAAGCTAACCAACAGCAGCTAGCTAGCATATGGCTGTTCGGCTGTGATGAGTACCACCGTGCAAAGTAAGTGAAATACTGTCAATTTATACACACTAGCTACTTAAAAGCGTTGTGAATATTATGTTTGAATTCATAAGATGACTACTTCACGTCTCTCGCGTTGATTAAAGGCTTAAATGTGACGCTTAAGGAGTGAGTATAGCTAGTATCGGCCTGTTTGCTCAGGGAAGTCAAACAGTGCCTTATGAAGTTTTAACTTTTACCCTTTAGATTCTGCATCACAATCACATGCACATGTTTATTGCACAAACTAGCAATTCAAAGATATTTATGTAGGATTTTACAAATATACCTCCTGCAAAACTGAACATAAAAGTATTATTATTATATATTATATATATATTATATTATATTATTATTATCAGTTTTATGGTTGAACTTATTGTAGGCATTTAGAAAATGTTGAACTATCACTTATCACTGTTTTCATTTGATAACAGTTTATGTACTAGTTTTAACAAAAATACCTTATGGAAATGTCATATTCATAAAGCTACATTTCTTAACTCACCATATATTAGGTTGATTTTGATTTAATGTGATTTACTATGATTTTTATTAACCTTATATAGTTTCCTGAAATAACTATTGTTTTTTGTATTGATTGGAATGCTTTGGCTGATATAAATCAATTTAAAAACATGAAGCTTCTGTTGTGTTTTTCAGATGACAAGAAGATGAGCAGGAGGTGCGCTGACAGCATGTGACACACACAGCTTTCCACTCATCACACCCCCCCCCCCCCCCCCCCCCCCAAATAAAGATGCCTCGACTGGAAGAGCTGGCCAACGTGGCCCTGAGGGTGCCGAGCATCCTGGTGCTGGACCTGCTGTATAAATGTGACATTGAAGGGCTAACGGAGCACCTCAAGGCCAAAAATGACGACATGCTTTTCAAATACAAATATGTCATCTGGAACATGTACTACATTGGTTAGTATGCACATGAGGAGATGTTGAGTATGTTACCTTAAAGGTAGGGTAGGTAAGAATGGAGAAACCAGCTTGAGTGCGCTAGAATTTGAAAGTACGCAGCCGAAAAAAATCTGACCCTTCCTTCAGACTTCCTTACA